TTTTTTTTAGGAATTAAAAAAATAAACAGTGATTGTTCCACTTTTAGTTGACTTGAGCCAAATAACAGATGTTTGAACTCCTTGTTGCAGCAGCAGTGTTTCACGCTTCCTACACTTGTCATGTTTTGACCTTTTTCCACCTTTGCCTATTAGGCCAGTTCTGGTTTAGGGTGCGGTTCTGACCTCAGATTGCTCTGGAGTTGGGTTAAATTTACATACAGTATGCTTCAGTCATTTCTAGCATGTTAATACACTGCTTCTCAGGTGCTGAAGTCAGATACTTCATGTTGATTTTTAGACTTTAAAAGATTGATGCAGCAATCTTTTAAAGGTAAACTGGGATTTGAAAACACTTTGTATCCACAGCTAAAGACTCAAACAGGAAGAGTGTTTTATTTTTTAAGGTGCTGTTGGGTTAATAGTTTCTGCTTTGCTTATATAGGCAGATTTTACTTTGGTGAAACATTTCATTACAGCTTCTGGAAAACCGCCACACGGAAAACGAGTTATTCAAAACTTTATTTAACATACAACAAGGTGCAAAAGAAGAAAATTGATGACCAAGTTCTCCTGTATGCAAAGTGTTCCAGAAAATCATTAAATGAAATAAGTTCTTCACCAAAGTAAAAGAACTTTCATGTATATACATGGAATATAAAGTCATTTTTTTAAAATTGTCTTAAGAATAGTTTAGCTCCAGTAACTGAATTATTTAGCAGCTGTGTGTGGTTTCTGCCGCTTTGCTGTTGATTAAGTTTCAGTTAATTAACTTCAAAATGAAGAAACTCAAGACCTGATGATCTCTGCGGATCCCTGAAGGGAAACTTGATAATTACATCTTTTTAGCTGGGTGGGATAGGAATATGCTGCTATTTCTCTTCAGAGTTAATAAAAATCAAATTGTCAAAGAAACATATTTCCAGAGTTAAATAGAACTTAACCAGAGTTTCTTTTTTATTTAAAAGATGATTTTGATGATTCGTTTAAGAAATGTCCAAAGTCAGTCCCGTCTTTTAATCATACCAGCTGTAAAAGAGTAAACGGTCCTGAGCTGCTATATGACGTTTCTCTGTGACTACTCTGAAGGGAACACAGTGAAAGCAGTACTTAGTTACTGGGAAACCTAAGCCTCAGGTTCACGCAGCACTTCTAAAATTCACAACTTTGTGTTCTTTGCCATGTGGTTTTATAGCAACAGCTGGCCCAGCTGCAGAAGGAGAAGTCAGAGATTCTGAAGAACCTGGCTCTCTATTATTTTACCTTCGTCGATGTCATGGAATTCAAGGTGGGGAACAACACACAGTGGCACTCGCGTGAAGCACACGAGGACGTGTTTCTTTTACTTTGGTGGTTCTAATGAAAACATTTCTCTTCGCTCTATTAATAGGATCATGTGTGTGAGCTGCTGAACACCATTGATGCCTGCCAGGTCTTCTTTGACATTGTAAGCAAATATATTTTATTTATCTTTTTTAAAGAATGGGTATCACATGTAACAGGACAATGTTTTAACGCTTCAGAAAACATAGAAAGAAGCTTAAAAAAGGAAGAATTACCCATCAGAACCTGCAAAGTTCTGTAGTGGGTCAAAGACTCCCTTTCCCTAGAGACTGACAACGAGGCCCAAAGGAGGAGCAAGAGTCTAGATCCCACTCTGAAGTCTTGAACTACAATAAGCTGTAAAGTTATTGAGGATTTTTTTCCCCCCTGACGACTTCTAGACTTAATCCTTTCTTTTATTAGAGCCATTGAGTGAGATATTTCTCCTGTGCTTACCTCATCATGTTTCAGAAATGAAGAATCCTAAAGAGATTCTCTCCTCCCCTTTCTTTCCTCTATTTTTTTCATTCTTCCTCATTCCCTGAGCATTCCAGAGCCACAGAAGTATTTATGAATATGTTTTAACTCCAGCAAGGAAGTTAAATGGTTGGTTCAGTTTTTCCGTTTGCATGAAAATTTTACCACAGGGTGGGTTTAGTCTGGGACAAATCCTGGGAGTTAACCTGCACTGAAGTTTAGGATCTTTTGGATTCTTTGCCTTTGTGAATTAGAGCATAATTGCACATTTTGTGTCATACTTTAAAAGATACGCCAAAGTGATAGAATTTGGAAGATATCATCTTGATGTCCTTGAAAATATTACAGACTAAACTGGATGCAGATCACCTCCGCATGTATAAACTCAATTTATACATATTTCAGAGCAGGCGTGGGTAATTAAAATTCCCCAGGGCCTGTTGGGGCTGTTGTGGGGCTACTCCAGTGAGCTGAACTCAGTTCTGCTCAATTTTATCTCTTTAAAATCTTATTGGTGTTCTCCACAACAGTCCCAGTATCTCATATGGCCTCTTGGGAAAATTAATTGCCTGCCCCTCCTTTAGAGGAAGTGTTCAGCCTTGATGGAGGTATATAGTCTCTTGTTTCTGTGTAATCGCTGCCTTTCTTGTTGTTTGCTTCACGTAATGACACACCTGTGTTCCCTCATCAGACGGTGAATTTTGACCTGACTAAGAACTACCTGGATCTGGTGGTAACATACACTACTCTGATGATAATACTTTCTCGCATAGAGGAGAGGAAAGCCATCATAGGGCTTTACAACTATGCCCACGAGATGACGCATGGAGCCAGGTAACTGAGAGTTAGATTGATGTGAGAAGTTTGCACACTATTACAGACATCATAGCAGCATAAACTGTTAGTAGAAACAGTTACTTAGACACTACGTCACTACTTCTGTGTGTTGCTGCAGTGACCGGGAGTACCCCAGGTTGGGCCAAATGATTGTGGATTATGAGAACCCTTTGAAGAAGATGATGGAGGAGTTTGTTCCACATGGAAAGGTGGGAGAATTGTTTGTGCATTGTGAAATATAGGTTTTTAACATTGTACAAATGCAAGATAGTTGATGCAGAGAGCTTTTGGTTTGCAACATCTATACTAAAACTAGGAAAACGGTTTCTGTAAAGGAACCCGTCTATTCTGTTCATCCATGTAGATCACTTGTGTATACACCTGTAGCTGTACTGAATAAAAATAATCACTGGTTTGATTTTCCTTGATCAATAGCCCTGGTATATGCACCATGATCTACAGTGTTTACAGATACTTCTGCTTTTATTGGTTAGTGTTGTTGCCATAGCATTTCAAATGCCTCACTGAGCTCAGTCCATGTGGCATATTGTCCACAAACATACAGACTTCTACTTTTCAAATCATGCATGACTTATGCTTGCGTGGGAAATCTACGTTGTGACTTCCGTCATAACTGGAAACTCGTTTTTTGCCCTACTCTGTAGCATTTTCCGTAACCTGACATGCGCCTCATGTTGGGTCGACACAGCTCGCAGCGACTCGAATGGTGTAGAAGGTTACAGCATATGGTTGGGGAGAGTTTCCGGTTACGATAAAAAATGAGGACATTGATTTCCTGCAGAAGTCTAAATCAGCGGTC